ATGGCTTAAACATTGCTAAGAACTATATTACACTAAGCAACCAAGAGAGAAGAAAAACATTCTGGCGTAAGAAGGCAATCAAATAAATGAAGCAAATAATTTTTGATCCGTCTGACCCTTAATTTCCTCTGAATTGTCGGTTTTTATCCACTTCACGTCTCCAGACTGCTTGCAAAGTAGAGTTGCGTTACATCCGGTTTGCGTGTGAAAGGTAACGAAGGAGCCTTGAAAAAGAAGAGTATTGCATTTACCATTAGAAGGACTGATGGAGAAGTACTCAACCGGTTTGATTGATAAGATAAAAATAATCAATCGGCTGTAAAAATGTGCATTCTCGGAGAACAAATAACAGATTCACTTTGCAGTTCCAACTTTGATGAGGTTGTCAAGATGTTTATTTCTTATTTAAGACCATTTACTGGCGAACAACTTCAGACGCAGTACTGTCGTTAATCTATCAGTTCAAACTCTGATGTTTCACGTTAAATAAGACTGCCGAGTATGGAATCAAATCAGATAATAACCGCTAGAGTTAGTTTTCCAGGAAACTCGTCGACGTTACTTTACGTCATCACAATTACGATTCTATTTTACTTTGACGCACGTGACAAACCTGATTTGATGTAAGTTATATTTTTGTCAGGAAGTAGTTTCTCTTAATTCACTCCTTAAGTATAATCTTAATTCCAATAAATTTTTCAAAGTGTTAAGAGTTAATTCAATCACATCTGTAGGAGTTAATCACTGTATCGTAAAGGTAACAATGTGTAAAAGAGGTGAAATGTTAGTTTGATATAAGCAGCGTAAGCCGACAAAACTTCCCCCGAGTCTTAAAAGGCGATTATTAAGACCAAATGTGCCCAAATATCGAACATTTTCAAAATATTGTGGCAACAGCCAAAAACTCGATTCGGCTCATATTCTCAAGTTAGGTAGGCCTTATGGTCAAACAAAGCACTGCATACTTCGTTTAGCTGAATATCGATTTATTTTCGAGAAAATCACTAACAACTGAATTTCGCCAAAATGCCGCTTTTGAAGCTCAAAATTTCAGACGGATCTCGGACCGTCGCGCCTCGAATTGAAAACATTTGGACCAATATAGCCTGCGAAGCAAGCCCTGGGGGAGAGGACGGGGGATTGGGAAGCAAGCCCTGGAGGAGAGGAGGGGAATTCCCTCCTCTCCTCCTGGGCTTGCTTCCCAATTCCCCCTCCTCTCCCTCAGGGCTTGCTTCGCAGGCTAGGACCGATAAAAAGTACCAAATCTTGAAAAACAACATCAATACATGTGTTGACGGCAATTTGAGCAATTCTTGATCATTTATTTACACAATCTAATTGAATTTATCCGACCCTCTTCTAACAAGATTAAAAATAGGTCAAAAGTAACCCGTTATTTAACTATGTGGTAAATAAAATAATCGACTGAAAATCTGGCTTTTGGAAGGCGAAGTGTGGTTCTTTTCGATCTCCAAAGGATTTTTTGGGGTAATGATTCTGTGCGATTTAATCAAATTTTAAAGTTGGAGAAAATGAGCTGATTTGACGGTGCCGTCAGTTATTCGAAAATGTACACATTCACACGCAAACTCAATTGTTTCGC